CCAATACATTCACTCGATTTAGAAGACAAATCCGATTGGAAATCGATGTTGAAAAATTGGACAGATCTTAATCGTTTGGAGCGAACATTCAATTTGGCGTCCAATGTTTGACGTCCAGTGTTTGACGTCCAGTGTTTGACGTCCAATGTTTGACGTCCAATGTTTGACGTCCAGGGTTTGACGTCCAATGTTTTACGTCCAATGTTTGACGTCCAATGTTTGACGTCCAATGTTAGGTTTTATTTAAATTTCGAAGAAGAGCAACTGTATTGAAATAGATTTTTTTAGTTAAAAACAGAAAAAAATATATTTTTTAAAATAATAAATTCAAATTATGCTTTTAATTAATGAGGAACTTCCTGAATCGAATTAAAACGTATAAAAAAGTTCTCATGTCAAATGATTCTATCTTTATATTTCGGAGCCCATATGAATATTTTGACTTTAAAAAAAGTAAGAGTCGTTTTTATGACAGTTTGTATGAGAAATATGATAAAAACTATGTCGAAGACATAAGGTAGTCTTAAACATGATAAGTATATATGTTTTTAAATTTTCCTTCATTATTTTCTCATAAATTTCACGCCCCCCCCTCCCCCCATCGCCTCGGGGATTTTTGCAATGTAGATTCAATCACATTACTCAGCTCCACGAATACTCTTCCCTGCCTCCATGGCTCTTTTTCATTTCTTGAAACAGTTTATACATGGCCACGTGTTACACGAGTTTTCCTGTAATTTAAAACTGACCTACTGTACAGCAATTTTCAAGTTTCCAATATTTCCAGCACTAATAAGGTGTTCATTATAAATATATATATATATATATATACAATAAGTATAAACCCTTTATTTTATGCTATTTTATGCACTCTTACTTGTGGTGAAATCGCAACATGGTGCAAGGTGCCGCCGGAAGCAGATCATGGATCCCACCGGAAGTCGTGAAATCAAACAGAAACCAAAGCACCATCTGTCTAGACACGCCTCCCCGTTTATCACGAAATTAATGACGTCCCGAGAGAGCGTTGGGGTTAGAGACTTCTTAGCTGGTGTAATGGCGTGGAACACGGGACTTTGCGTGCTATGCTAGTTAATTGAGTTTTACAATATTTATATGAGCAGCCAGGGGAATGAACAAGAAAAGATAATCAGTTACATTTACAGTCACTTGCGTCCCTTTTCTTATCATTTAGTCTCTTAAAAAAATAATTTCTTTAAAAATAACAATATATATTTTATGTGATTTGTTTAACTTAAATCCAGGTTTTATTTTTGGTTAAACGTGAATTATTTTAAAGATTAATGAATAGTTTTAGCGTGTTAATTTTCAAGTTAAAATTTTGGATGGAAATTGTTGAGAAACATGGATTGATAATCACCGCTCGCCTGGGGCTAGGATCGATGAGCCTCAATAAAAATTTGCAATTAAAGATACGTATACATTTAAAAAAAAACAAAAACAATTGGTCAAATAATTTGGATTTCTTACAAAAGTTCGTCACATGAATTCATGTTTTGTCAAGTAACTTTATGAGATGGGGAGTTCACGCATTGCCGCCGCCATTTTTGTGCTCTTTTTAGTGTGTGATTAAAAAAAAAAAAGAAATGTTATTCTAACCTGCAAATGAAAGTAATTCACACTAGGTGGCGTCCAGTTCGTTTGTTTCAAGGGCAAACAACTGCCGCTGGCTAAAATCATTTTAGCACATTTTTTAAAGCTAAGCAGAACCCCACTCCCCCTTCCCCCCCCCCCCCCCCCCATTTTTGAAGGAAAAATAAATTGGTCGCAGACATACGAATATATAAATTCTGAGAAAATGTGGCATACATTTTCTCTGTCCTGCCTGATAAGAAATGGCTCACCCTAAAAAAAAAAAAAAAAGAGAGAAGACGCCAGAGATTGGGGTCTGGGGGGAAATTAATTGGTCGTTTCGTTGTTAGCCAACTTCCTCCCCAACATTTCTATGAAACCCAATTTGTACCATTCACTTACAAATACGAGCGATACCGTATATAAAAGCTCAGAGAGTATGGAACTTCCTTACCGGGGTTGTCAGATTAATTTAGCTTATATAGACCCAAGCGTTTTGCACGTGAAGAAAGAAGAGCTTCACGAAGACAAAAAGAGTTTTGACCAAAAAGGGGGAAGGTTTTAGCCTTTTCGTTTACTTTTTACTGCGATTCTTAATGGGAGGCCGCGTGGACAACATGCAACGTAGACGTAAATCACATTTTTAACAATACGTAATACTGGTTAAACCTTGAAAAGAAATCACAACAAAGGAAATATGGCAAGATATTGGTTGTATATAATAAATGAATGAATCTCATCATGATAATAATAGCACTAACACTTTTAAAAAGATATAATATCATATGTAAATATCAACTGTTGCCATCAATGACAGAAACAATCCAGTCAGCTTTAAATAGAGCCAAGAGACATTAAATATCGTTACATAATTGATAATAATACTTACTTATTATAATCATCTTTCATTATAACAAGGGTCCTCAATCAGGCTGCTCTAGAGGCCCCGTTTAATGGCCCATAAAAGGACAGATGTCACTCTCATAATTAAAAGGTTAGTAAATAGATATGTAACATATAGAAGTGATATACAAACACAAGCAAACAAACATGTCACCTGCGGTATATCAATATTTAAAAAAAAATAAGAATTAAATACTGACAGACGTGTAGTGTATGAGCGAGCTTGTAAAAAATACAACAAGAAAATTTGAACTGAAAACACGATAACTGTTTGGTTTGAGAACATCTATTTCAAATTACCCCACTATCTAAAAAAATAAAAAATAATAATAAGCTCCGCTTCCAGCTTTCGGTCGGTAACAGTTTTCTTTCTTGGCGCATTCTTCATGGATTTCAACGTCCAGAGTCGTAGACCAGGAACATGATTCGATTGAATATATGCTCCATGATCTCCCTCCCCCCGTTGCTGTGTCCGAATTTGTTAACGGAAGAGGTGGTTACAATTGGTAGAGGTCTTCTAGATATGTAACAATTGACTCACCACTGACTCCACCACTGACTCTACCACTGACACAATCACTGACTAACCTCTGACTCACCTCTGACTCAATCACTGACTCACCGCTGACTCCCCGCTGACTCACCACTGACCTACGCTCTTTCAAACGATAAATCAAGTATACACATAAATGAATATATCATATGTATGTCTTTAAAGTATGTATATTTTAACTAAGAAGTGTAAAATATATATTTAAAAAATCGTATTGCACCTTTTGGAAAAACTCTTTATAAAAATAGAATGTAAACATAGAATAAGCATGCATTTGATTATTAAATTCGTGGAGCGCCTTTCACGGGTAATTTCTACAATAAAATCAAGCAGAATTATTTTTTGTATCCATCTCCTTCAACTTGCAGTGCTGTAATTCAGTATAGTCACTTTTTAATTTAATAACAACAAAAAAATACCCCCCCCCCTTTTTTTTCCAAATTGTCTCCTCATCATTTAACAGCACACCCCCACCCCCCCACCCCCCCCCCCCCAAACCAATTTTTACAAAGTTATATGAAACGTGCACAGTCGTCGTCGAGTGGGGCCCCGCAAGGACCCCCTCGGAGCTTTAAGGGGTGGGGGGTGGGGGTAAACGTTTTTATGTGAATAAAATGTTAACGATCACGTGACGTGAAAAAAAAAGGGGGGGGGGGCGTAATATCGGAAAGTGGCAGAGGAAAAAAAAAAGAAGGGGGGGGGGCTTCAAAAGTCACGCAAATCGATATTTGAACGTGGCCATTGAACTGTTCTTTGTAATTAAAGGACATCGCCGCCGTGTCAGCTTATCTTAAACGGAATGCTTTGTTGTATTTTGGTTGTTATGTTCGTTTGTGTCTCTGTGTACAAGTGAAGGCGGCGTCTCTCACACCCCCGTTGGATTCGTTTGATTCCCTTTGATATCTCAAACGAATTGAAACAAAAGTTTTTTTTCCAGGGTCGGGGGTGGGGTCAGGGGTGGAGTCGGGGTGGGGTTAGGGGTTTGGGGTCGGTGGTGGGGTCGGTAATGGGGTCAGGGGTGGAGTCGGGGGTGGGGTCAGGGGGTTGGGGTCGGTGGTGGGGTCAAGGGTGGGGTCGGGGGTAGGGTCAGGAGTGGGGTCGGGGGCCCGGGGTGCGTTTGGCGGCGCGGGGCTGGGCTCCGTCCAAGTTCTCTGATTCAATGTCAATGCCGAATGGGGATAAATCAAATGATGATAACTATATTACACACTTTACATTTGTACAAACAATTGTAGTAGAAAAACAACAACACATTTTCGGTTCGAATGATGCCAAAAAAATTACAAAATGCGAGAACCGATTACATCAAAATGTGAACAAAAATCGGAGAGACATTTTGTAGCGTAACAAGCTGAGATGGAACACAAGAATCGTTGTCGCTTGTCCAGCCATGTCTTCGAGGGTTGGATCTGAATGCTGGACTGGTCGGAACTGGTGCTAATATCAAATTCAACTGACGCTGAGCCTTTTTAATGAAATAAAAAAGAACACTAAAAATAATGTCCCCGTTGCAAGATGATCATGTGACGAGTATCAAGGTTTAATTTTCACAAGAGTAGTCTGTAAAACTAGCCTTAAAAGCAGAGTATTTGATTTACTTTCAGAGAACAAATCAAAGAAGCCATTTTGAAGTGAATAAATATAACGGAGGTGGCTTCATTATTTCAAACAGGCGCGCGTGGAGCATGCCACGGGTTTAGACGTGCTTTCAATAGGAAGGACAATGACGTCATGTGTCGCCATTTCTCTGACTGAGCCCCCCTTTCTTTGTAAACCGAAGGCGCTTTTCGTGGTCGCCTCCATCCTCCGAGACCTCCTTCTCCTCCTCGACGTCTGCCATGCTCCTCAGACTTCTGCCGCTTTCGTTCCGCACGACCGAAATCCTCCGCGGGAAATCGTGCGGTATGCAGATCTCGTGGTCCGAGTTGGCGCGGCCTCGAACGATCGTCGTGAGCTCCCTACGCACGATCTTACTTCTGAACACGTACACTATCGGATTGCAGGCGCAGCTGAACATGGCCAGCACCGTTGACACGTGGGAGGCGACCGGGGAAAAGGGCGTGGACTTCCCCATGCCGGCCTCCACGGCCATGACGACGAAGTACGGCGTCCAGCAGACGGCGAAGCTGAAGAGGACCAGGAAGCTCGTCACGGCCGTCTTCCACTCCTCCTTCCGCCACAGCAGCGAGGAGGAGCGGCTCGACGACTGACTCAGCCTGCGAATGATCGGCGCGGTGCTGCTCCTCCTCCTCGAGTTTATGGGCGTGTTCTGCTGATTGACCGCGTCCTCCGAGTTGTTGGTGGCCGCGGAGTTGACGCGGATCACGCTGTTCCTCCTGGCCCTGACGATGTTACCGTGGGCGGCCCTGAATATCCTGGCGTACGTCCACAAGATGGCCGCCAGCGGGAGGACGAAGCTGAAACTTATCAGGAAAAACGTGTAGTACCTGTCGTAGCTTTGGCTGCTCGACCACTTCACGGTGCAGACCATTTTGTCCAGCTGAAATTCTATGGCGTTCCATCCTAGGAGGGGCGGCGATGATATAACGACCGCCCCGACCCAGATGCACGCGATGAGCATCGTGCACCTCCGCGACGTGAGCCGCATGGAGTAGTGCAGGGGCGTCACCACTGCGCAGTATCTGTCTATGGAGATGACGACAAGTGTGAAGATGCTCGCGCTGACAATCACGTTCATCAAGAACCCGGTGACGACGCACCAGAAGTGACCGAAGATCCATTCTGTGGTCAGCAGAGACGTGAACGCGAAAGGCATGACGAAGAACGTGGTCAGGCAGTTCCCTATCGTGAGGTTCGCCACGAACCGGTTGGACATCGAGATCGACTTTCTCTTGCAGAACACCACGAAGACGAAGGCGTTGGCCACCAGACTGGCCAGGAACACGGTGGCCAGCATCGCGCCCATGATGGTCGTCTCGGTGGAAGAGACGTGGGTGTCGTCATTTCCTGGACAGAGAGCATCGGTGTGGACACGGTTGCAAGGCAAGAAGCCGCTTTGGTTCGCGTATGAATTTAAGCCGATGAGGAGCGTCTCTTCTGACGACGAAGGGTTAGATCCCATTTTTACCCCTCCACCTGGTTCCACTTTGTGGCAATGAGCAAATGTCCTAGTTTCAAATAGTCTTCAAAGATTCATTTCATAAAGCAGCTGGATTATGTAAAAAAAAAAACAACAACAACAAAAACCAACTAAAATTGAACCGTTAAACACGCTGAAATGTTCACGTAAAGATAAAATTGAAACACATTTTTAAAACACAATTCTTTGACATAAACTAGTCAACAAATATGTCGGAGTCTTCATTCTGCATTCTTTTTGGTCGAACTAATACTTTCAAGTGTAAAACGGTCTCTTTTTTATTTACTTTTTCAAAGTGGATCTTTAAACAGAAACAGCTTCTTCACAAACCGAAAATAAACAATCCACCTTTTTAAAAGAAAAAATCCTAGTGATGACAAAAGTGAATCCCAATGATGACAAAAGTGAATGCCACGAATTGTTGATAAATTTTCCTGCTACACAAATCCGTCGATTGTTTTGAAACAAAAAAAAAAAAGAACACAATTTTGCAAACAGATGACTAGGCCATTCTGTCTTCTGCGAGCACAAGTAGCGTATCACCAGATGAGCTTCACGAGACACGGGTTCATTGCCTCCGTGGACCAGTGTTTTATAAATCCACCGCCTGCTAGGAAGGTCTCGCGCGCTTTGCCTACGTGAGCTTGTGGCGCGCGCGCGTGTCTAGCAGGAATTTATCCTGTCGCAGTAGACGTCTCCAGCGAAGAGAAGTGGGGAGAAGAGATGTTGAAATTAGAAGGGAACAAAAAACAACAAGAAAACAAGAAACAATATGATTCCCCGATTTTCCGTGAATTATGTTCACTTTTTTTTTTTTTTGTGTTGCTTCAACGACGACACTTCTGTGGTCACGTGGTGGATCACATGGAGTCTCATTTGACGGCATGCACGGTACTGGAGATGTTTAAGAAAGTTCCGGAAGTTCCACAACTGGATACTGGAATCGGAGGGGCTTGGCGTTAAAGCGGCCCGGCGTATTCGATAACTTCTTAGGTGGTCTGAAAATTGCAGCACTCCTCTTCAAGTAAGCCACGTCGATGTCTGTGAGAAAAAAAAGAAAAAAAAGAAAAAGAATGGAGTTAGCAAAGAATTTCGTTGGGTAAAATATTGATTAAATAATTTTTAGTAAACGTTTCAGAGGACAATGCCCTGTAATCTTGAAACAATTAGTAGTTTCTATTTTTGTAACCGGATGTTGGTACAGGGTTGGCTCGTTGAATCGATTCTATCAAAATTATTTCTAATACCCAGGGACTGGAGGCTAGCATACAAGTCCTGATTTCAATATTTAGGTTTGACACGTGAATGTTTGTTGTTAAGGTGTGAATGTTTGTTGTTAAGGTGTGAATGTTTGGTGTTAAGGTGTGAATGTTTGTTGTTAAGGTGTGAATGTTTGGTGTTAAGGTGTGAATGTTTGGTGATAAGGTCTGAATCTTTGGTTTTAAGGTGTGAATTTTTGGTGATACGGTCTGAATGTTTGATGTTAAGGTGAGAATGTTTGGTGTTAAGGTGGGAATGTTTGGTGTTAAGGTGGGAATGTTTGGTGTTAAGGTGTGAATGTTTGGAAGTAAGGTGTGAATGTTTGATATTAACGTGTGAATGTTTGGTGATAAGGTCTGAATGTTTGATGTTAAGGTGTAAATGTCTGATGTTAAGGTGTAAATGTTTGGTGATAAGGTGTAAATGTTTGGTGATAAGGTGTAAATGTTTGGTGATAAGGTGTAAATGTTTGGTGATAAGGTGTAAATGTTTGGTGATAAGGTCTGAATGTGTGATGTTAAGGTGTAAATGTCTGATGTTAAGGTGTAAATGTTTGGTGATAAGGTGTAAATGTTTGGTGATAAGGTGTAAATGTTTGGTGATAAGGTGTAAATGTTTGGTGATAAGGTGTAAATGTTTGGTGATAAGGTGTAAATGTTTGGTGATAAGGTGTAAATGTTTGGTGATAAGGTCTGAATGTTTGGTTTTAAGGTCTGAATGTTTGATGTTAAGGTGTAAATGTCTGATGTTAAGGTGTAAATGTTTGGTGATAAGGTCTGAATGTTTGGTTTTAAGGTCTGAATGTTTGATGTTAAGGTGTAAATGTCTGATGTTAAGGTGTAAATGTTTGGTGATAAGGTCTGAATGTTTGGCTTTAAGGTCTGAATGTTTGATGTTAAGGTGTAAATGTCTGATGTTAAGGTGTGAATGTTTGGTGATAAGGTGTGATTGTGTTCTCGGTGAAATAACAGGCTTTTATCTTTGCTTGGCGTGAGCGAAGTCTAAACGATGGCCTTTGAGCTTGGAGACCGACCGAATGCGATTTCATGGTTTCGGCTGAAGTCAAACCGAAAGTCAAAAAATTGCCTTCAGCCGAAGCCGAAACCAAAAAAAAAAGCCTAACGAGGCTTTCGGTCGAAACTTAAACCTAAAGATATATAACTAGATCTTTAGTATACTGTTACTTAAAGGTTCATAATCCTTTTTTTCTTTACATCTGTGACCACCAACTTATCTAATTTGGTGTGTGATGGATACTTTTTTTCGTTGTCAACATCAACACTTATGAGCGTGATGATGATGAATGTCCAGGAAGTGAAAAAGCCCAGGGCTCCCTATTTCATTATCATTATATTTAAATTTTAAACTAAAACAATAATGGAAATGTGTTACCACCAATTATATTTTATTGTCACAATAGTATTTCCCTTGGCCTGTGACATCAGTTATGAGCATGATAAGGATTAATAAAAGTGAATGACACAAAGAAGATTATTTTTTATTAAAAAAAGGAAATTAAACAAAAATAATAATATAAACATTACCATTCCTTTTTTTTTGTTTACAAAACTATTTACCTTTCCCCAAGCCTCATTTGAATTTTATTTTTTGGAAATAGTAGACAAATAGGTCACCTTGCAGCCGTGAGCAGTGTTCGCAGAGGATTAGTCATATATAATAATAATAATAATAATAATAATAATAATAATAATAAGAGGTCTTACATAGCGCGGTACCCCAGCCTAGGGCTGGGCTCACCGCGCTGTACATAAAAATTTTATCAAAAGAGACATAATCATGACATTAAAATAAAATACTTTTGTGAAATAAAGAACAGCAAAAAATGTATATTCACCCACCCCACCACATAAATTTTACAAGCCAAACCATGGACGGCAGCCAGCAAGATCGTTTATCGGTCAGAGGAGGGGAATCAGTCAGGGTAGTATAATTTAAAAAGATGTGTTTTGAGTGCAGTTTTGAAGGCCTGGGTGGTTGGTATATTGCGTATGTGTAGTGGCAAAGAATTCCATTGTTTGGGGGCGCAGAAAGAGAAAGATCGTTCACCATATGTTTTAGTGTGTGTCTTGGGAACGGACAGAATACGAGTGTCTGCAGAGGAGCGAAGCTGTCGAAGGGGTGAATTGACAGAAAGAAGTTCGGTTAGATAGAAAGGGCAAGAATCCAAGAAAAAGTTGTGACAGAGAACAGACAACTTGTAGTCGATGCGTGCCTGTATAGGTAGCCAATGTAGTGAGTGGAGTAGTGGAGTGACGTGATCGCGTTTTTTTTTTTTGCCTTTAAAACTAGCCTAGCAGCTGAGTTTTGAACTTTCTGCCGTTTTTCTATGCAGTGTTTTGGTGAACCTGACAGAAGAGAGTTGCAATAGTCCAGACGAGAGAGAACAAGAGCACAGACTCGAGTTTTTGTAGCGCTAACTGTGAGGTAGTGGCGGATGGAGCTGATCTGACGGATGATGACATCACACGATGACCGCAAGAAATCGAGCAATAATGAATATCGGATTGCCAGCCAACCGACAGAGTGACCGTCTGACTTCTGGTAGATGACCCACAGAATGACCGTCTGACTTCTGGTTGACGACCCACAGAGTGACCGTCTGACTTCTGGTTGACGACCGACAGAGCGACAGTCTGAATTCTGTTAGACGACCGAAAGCCGAAACAGCTTTCGGCCGAAACCAAAAACCAGCCGAAAGTGCATCTCTTTGAGCCGTGCGATATTTCTTGAAAGCTGTTTAAGAGAGTTTCAAACCATTCTGCCAAGAAGTTCGAACCGAACTAACGTTCTGCCCTTGACCTTAGAAGCGATCCATAACCCCCCGCCCCTCCCCAACACCCCACACCACACGCACATATTTCACACAACTCTCGTTTGTTCATCTTGCCGCGCATTGGCACCCGCACACCTTCCTGCTTATCATGAAGATATTTATACTTAGAGTATCTTCTCTACATTAAAATCTCATTTATCGCACAAATTGAATTCTATTTCAATGGATTTACGCTTCAGCCAGGCCACACTTTACTGCTTTAAAAAAAACAACAACAACAAAAAACCTGTTATCTAAAACGTGTGTTAAAATCTTTGCCGTATCAGGCAGCATCAGTTTGGTTAACCAATCTCTGTCTATATTTAGATTCGGGAAGTTCTATCTGAACACTGATCAGAGCGAACAACATCATCAACGTCAACCCGCGATGCAAAAAGAGAAGAAGAAAAAAAAAATTGACCAAGAGCTGTTAAGTTGCTTTATTTAAAACTTTCTCAAACTTCCACGGCCATTAAAAAAAAAAATCATTAAAATCTCATGCGTTGCACTATAAATAGACGATATAAGATTTACCAACGGCTGTTCCCCCCCCCCCCCCCCCCCTTCCCTCTAAGCACGATGCCGTAGAGGCTAATCCCGCAGGGGCAGGGAGTCCTGGAACAGTTGAACTATCTGACTTAACGATCAATTGGCATGCACGAGGATCGTTCAGACTCACGTGCCAAATCTAAGACGTCGGTGCTATCAAATTTAAAATACATCTCATGGCGGACGCACCTTGCACTTTTAGGCACCTGAGAGTTCGCGACTTGAAGATAATCTT